CGGCGGCGGCGACGTACGTTGGCGCGGCGGCGTGTGATCACCGGCGTCGACCTCTGCTTCAAATAATGTATGTAAAATCTTCAATATACGAATCGTATAATACGATTAATTGATAGTACTTATTCTTTTCTGTAGTATTACGTGCTATGCTAAAGTTTTTTGATCTAATTATCACCGGTAGAAAACGGCGTCCCAAAATACCCCCTGGCCTGTAAATAAGTGACGGTACACAAACATACCTCTTTGCATACGTGTACAAGGCCCATAAAAATAATGAAAAAAAAACTAATTCCAATAGTGCTGACTTTTATGTAAGTAATGTAATGACTTATGTATGTTGAGATCCAATTAAATATTTATGTACAGTGTCGGACAGATGTCTACGTCCACATAGTCGCGTCAATTTCATTTTCAAATTGTCACTGAACTACTGAACCAATTTTCATCATTGATATATCAAATTCTCACAAATTTAACGTAATTTCATAGCACATTATTAGTTTTCCGCTAAAAAATTTATTTTAGGCCAGAGATGTATTTTAATTCAAAATGAAAACAATTGGATGGACAAAAGTCAACGTCCAGTAAGAGAAAACATACAAAAAAACTGTAATTTATAAGGAATGTTATAACAATTAATTTTTAATATTTGGTTGGGCCTCCGTTCGCTTTAAGGACGGCTTCAAGGCGTCGAGTCATAGAGTTTACCAAATTCTTGGTCACATCTTCAGAAATGGTTTCCCAAACTTCACGAATTCTGGATTTTAGGCCCGGAATTCCTGAAAAAGATTGTTTTCTTATTTCTCTTTCAATGTGGTCCCACAGATGCTCAATGGGATTCAAGTCTGGAGATTGGGGAGGCCATTCTAGCTTCGGAATTTTTTTTTCTTGAAGTATTCCATGGTGGACTTGGCAGAGTGTTTCGGATCGTTGTCTTGTTGGAAGGCAAATCGTCGTCCAAGTCCAAGTTTTCGAACAGATTCCTGGATATTACGGTCAAGTATTCCCTGGTACTTGTATTGGTCCATAATTCCGTCAATAAATTCCATTTTTCCTGCCCCACTTGAAGCCATGCATCCCCACACCATTACCGACCCGCCGCCGTGCTTAACTGTGGGGTTGAGATTTTTTGGATTCAAAGCTTCTTTTGGATATCTCCACACTCTACGACGCCCATCTGACCCAAAGACATTGAACTTTGACTCGTCAGTCCATAAAATATGTCCCAGAATGTTTGTGGCTTGGAAATGTGGTCTCTGGCAAACTTCACTCGTTTGGTTGCATTCCTCGGTACAATAAGAGGCTTCCGGACTGCTCTGTGGGATTTCAAATTTCCCTTATTCAGTGTTCTTTGGATGGTCATAGGACTAACCTGTTTGCCGAACATCTCCTTGATCTCGGTAGATAGCTTTGGAGCACTAAGTGAGGGTGTAACGTTGACTTTGTTGAGCACGTGGCGTACTTCTCGGTGAGCCAAAATGGGTTTTCGACCACTTCTGACCTTGTTTTGGACTGAACCATTAGCTTTAAAGTTCTTAATGATTGTCTGGATGGTTGTCCTTGCTAATTTATACTTGGTCCATATTTGTCTCTGCGACAGCCCCCTTTTTGTCCACCCTTCCAGTCCTGAATGACAAGATCTCGAATAGCGATAGGAATTTCCTTGCGTGTCGACGCCATCATATTTTTCTGGAAGAAAATTATTTAAAAATTAATGCGGCATATGTTATTGATAGATTTATTAAGTTACCTGATTTTATAAATTGGAGAGATTTTTGTTGTTGACAATTAAAGTGAAGTGGACGTAGACTTTTGTCCGCTCAAATTTCATCCTCTCTCGCTCTGCACTATGATTCTCAGTTTTCCCAGAATTTTCAGAAATAACTCATATGTTTTATGAAATTACGTTAAATTTGTGAGAATTTGATATATCAATGATGAAAATAGGTTCAGTAGTTCAGTGACAATTTGAAAATGAAATTGACGCGACTATGTGGACTTAGACATCTGTCCGACACTGTATCTATTCAATTCATTTTATGCTCAATAATTACTAATATTTTCAGTGTACACACGCACAAACATAATCCAGCCTAGTATGTACATGTAGCCAACCGAATTCGGGAAAAATTGCAGGCTTAATTTATCTCACGCGGTGGCTATGTTAAAAGCATAGGGAAAATGGCAGGTCTTGATCCAAATATTTCTTGCCAAATATTTCTTGGCAAATATTTCTTGCCAAATATTTCGCGAAAATTTGACTTTGTACCCAACCCTGGAAAATCTTAATATTCAATCTCAATTTTCAAAATCTCAATTTTCCAAGTGTACTACTAACACTTTGCTAGTGTACTAGCATGAAAAAGTGCGTTTTTGGTCAAATTGAAGTTTGACGCAAAAGTAAGAAACCATGAACCTCGAAATGGGGGTAACCTAACCTAACCTAACGCCCCTTGAGGTGCGTTTACCGTTACCTCTATAATATTTTCATAAAGGCAGTATACTTTGGACTGATCCTTCCCCTTATGGTCACAACTGAATGGTTCTACTAATTTTCAAACCCCATGGAATTCGGCAGGATAATGGGTACAAAAATAAATCCCGACGATGAAGAGTCTGCGTTAAGCTCCGACGAAGTATGGCTTTATCTTCATGATTCTTCGAAAGTTATGCTACTCTACGAATCAGCAGGATCCTAAGCAGTGGGTTCGGGAAACTTTGAAAATATTTTTGTGTATATTATGGTTCCGGTTGTGGTTGTGGTTGTTGCAATGAGCATAACTCTACCCTAGAAGTGAGATATAGTATAATCTGGAAATAAGCACACTCGATTAACTCATCGCCAACTTTTTAAGTTGTGCGTGAATGTTTGATAGACTTTGCGCCCTTACATATCAACACATTGTCGGAGAGTATTTGGCCCCAGGGATTTTGTTCACATCAAACTCTAGTAATAAAGTGCTAGTTTTTTCCTTGAACAAATTTTCCAATTACTTATATACGAACTAAAAATCTTTTCAATAAGCTACATTTGCAACCGTGTACTAGCGTTCGACCATTTGACCCCTAAGATTTCTATCTATAGATTTTAGGCTTAGCTAAATCTATAGATCTTAGGATAGATCTACAGATCTATCCCTAAGATTTCTATCTAAGCCCATGTAACATCCGCTGTGGGTACTCTAAATACTCTATTTGTAACCGAGTCTTGAGCTCAAGTTTTCAAACTTTCATAACCTTGTCTATAATCATTTCATTCCCTTCATGCGTTTTAACTTCTTCAAGTTATGTACATATGTATAACCGAGAAACAATGATCCCGGTCTCTAATTCTTTCCGGTTTGTAACTGTAGCCGACGTGATCCGGCTTGGCTTTTGAGCCCCCTATAAATAGAGTATCTACGGTATGCCTGCTAGGACGTCCCATTTGTATTTTTATCCGTGCTGGAAATCCGTGTCAGAGGGGTTAGTGGAGAGCAGAAAAAACAAAGGAAAAAGGTTTCCAACTGCGCGAAACGGGGTGAAAATGAGACCGAACTGAAAACCAAATGAATGCAAATACCGTAAAACCTCTATTTATAGCCCTATTCTAATTATAGCCAGGTCTAGAGACCAAGATTTCAAGATTTTAGCCGGGTCCCCAATTATGGCCGGGTCTCTGTATAATTATGACCTATGTCTTATCAGCTCTGTCCCCGTTCACAGCCCATCCAAAAATGTTGTACATTCCTTGATTGTACGAATGAGGTCAAAATGTACAAAACTTTTAATTTCATTTGACCAAGAATGTATCTAGGTAATCATAACAGAAAGTGATTTTATAATATTATAAATTAGCGCGGAACAAAATTTGGCCGGGTCTCTAATTGTAGCCAGGTCTGTGACACCTAGTTTTGGATTTTAGCCCCGCCATAAATAGAGTATTTACGGTATATATGTATAAATTTCAATCTGCTGTTGGCATGGCGGCACTTTTTGGTGAAAGGAAAATAAATCCGACGATAAATAAATTGTGAAAATCAAATGAAAACAACGCTAGAATGAAGGGTATAAAATAGGCCTTAAAGAGGAACATCCAATAATGTAAGAAATTTTCCGAGGGCGTTCGTTGCCGATAAACTATTCAAATTTTTATAAAGTAAACGTTGCATTTTTATGCCTCAATTCAGTAGCTTTCCAAAAATCCTGCGCACATTATTTTGTATCTTGTGTGAAGTTAAACCGTCAAATAGTATGAATTGAAATAATAAAGCAGAAAAAGAGTAATTCAAGAAGCGAGACGTAGAATTTTTATTGATTCCTCATTTTGGTAATCTCATTCGCGCTACTGTTTTTCTAATAAAATTTCCGTCCGACACGATGCAAATTTCATAGTTACACCTGCTTACAACCAATTAAAATTTTCAACCAGTTCTCAAACGCCAAGATGTAAGAATACAAACTTCGAGAAAAACCTCTTTTTTATTATCGGGTTTTCCAGAAAATATCTAAGAAATACTTTTTTGAGAAATTTTTATGTGAGGCTAATTTATGCAGTACACATATTTTTGTCGTGACGTCAACGGAAAATAAAATACTACATAAATGTGTGTATCTACTTCGTCGTTAAGAGGCTAACCTTTAACTTTAAATTTGTGAATGAGAGGGCTTAAAATAGTAACATTATTTCCTACGTTAGAAGGAAATGGGTTTCCGAAAACGTAGGACCCGAAAATCTAGCTGGTCAATGAATAAGTTATTAACCATTATTAAGTCGAAAGAGCAATAAAAACTGTGACCAGCTACAAAACTAAATGCAAGTAGCGTTCATATTAATTGAAGCGACTTATCACTCGTTGTATCTCATAAACTAGGTAATAAATTAAGAACAAAGAAAAGTGCAATTAAGTACAAACTCGTTCAAACGCATTGATGCAGAAATGATATATGATGCATATGAAAAAACATGTGAATCTGGCAAAATCAAGTTTGGGCAAAAAATTGAAGTCGTTCATAAATGTAAAAACTGCAACTAATTTAAATTGTCAACTTGAATCGAATTAACGCAGGTCTGAAACTTTATTTGATCGTTGGCCAGCTCTGTTATCTAATATTGTGAAAATTACCAAATCTCAAACAGATTTGCGTAATTTTCGTCGACAGAACAGTTTGGGATTTCAATTTGAAATATAATTATTAATATATTTCGGTGATCTAAGCGTATTTCCCAGTTCTCGATGCGTACTTTTCTCTGATTTTTGTGTTGGCCAAAGTGTACTACCCTTCGATCGTGCATTTTTTCCAGATTTTTGGTGTTGGTGGAATTGTACTACAATTCTATCGTGTACTTTTTTCAGATTTTGTGTTGGTCGAAGTGTACTACCAATCGATCGTGTGCTTTTTCCAGATCTTGTGTTGGTCGAAGTGATCTTCCATTCGACCGTGTACTTTTTCCAGATCTTGTGTTGGTCGAAGTTTACTTCCATTCGGTCGTAAATTAATTTTCTCCATATTCTGGTTAGTCGAAGTGTACTAGTTCATCTAGTAATGTGCATTTTCTGCTCATTTTGTATCGGCCGAGGTGTACTAAATTATCGAGGACAGGTGTATGTTCTATTTATTATCTAGTGATCGATGTGAAGTACACCATGTGTACTACTTTCAACGATTGGTGTGCTTTTCTATCAATTTTGTACTAGTTATAGTGTACTTCCAACTGGTCTTGTGTATTTTCTGCTCATCATTATATATTTGCTCGAAGATAATTTCGACCGGCCTTCGGCCGGTTGAACTGTACTACCCGGGGTCCAAGTGTACTACCAACCAGGTTCGTAGGTAGGTAAGATCTTCCAGGGTTGTTTGCACGGCATGTGGTATGACAAACTTTTAATTTCACTAAATTATCTGTCGATTCAGGCTATTCCGAAGGAAATCGAGATGGTATAGTAGTTGAGGGTTCCTTGTAAGAGGTCAACGCCGACCAATTTGGCGGCGGGGGCGCCAATTTTGAGGATTTTTCGGCACGGCGCGGGGTGGCGTCTCAATGAATAAAGAATTAGATTTATCCGCGGCGGCGTTTAAAATGCGATCGGCGTATGGCGGTCCGGCGGCGTTGACCTTTGATTTATCCGTATTATCCGTCTCTAATGCATAGTATGGAAGTAACATCAGCAATATATACTTACTTAGGCAATGTTGAAGTAAACATGTGTCCATGTGTAGCTTACACAGCGGAATCAATGCAATGTTGGGATTTTATATCGGTCCTATTAAAAAAATGATACATTTTATTACGCTGTCAGTCAACTATTCCAGTTGTGTTAGGGAAGCGCGTAATGTAATACAAATATATTTCAAGATACGTACACATTTTTTTAACAAATTAAAGCACCAAATTAGTTTTATTTGCGTCTTCAAATTATTTTTATGCATAATTATAACACAAGATTTTATATATGATTAAACAAATAACACTATTCTTGGTATCAAATTCTTACCTTGGTCCATTAATTTGTTTTCAGTATTTCTGAGATAATTGTATTTAGTATTAGACAAAATTAGAAAGAGGTTGGGTTAGGCTAACCTAACCAAACCGACACTTAACAAACATTATGCAGGACAAAAGTATGTTGTTAAATAGTACAGGAAATGCAATGTATGCATTTATTTATTTATGTTTCCCTTATTCACCAACTTTAGCAATGTTAAAACAAATGACAGTTTTACAAATCACTAGCTAAGATAAGGGGTTAAGGTTTTCTCTTAACTAATTTTTAATCCAGGTTGGGTTTAGATAATACTAAGAAACAATACGTTGAGCATAATTTAAGTATGCATGAGATGCAGCATAACTGATGGTCTCATGACCCGGACAGTCGTAATTTGGAGTACGGGTTTTTTGCTACGATTTCCAGTTTTGATTGTTTTTTTTTTAAATTTTTGAGTTGAATTTTAAAAATGTTTTATTCGTGTTTTATGAAATGACGTTCCCGTTTTTAATGAATATTGACTTGATACTGTGCCATATGCACTACACTCAAAATAACCTGGTGTCAATCCAGTGCGGTGTTGTCACATATAGACACCACGCGGTGTTAATGCGGGCAATTAACACCGAGCGGTGTCTATATGTGACTTCACCGCGCTGGATTGACACCAGATTATTTTGAGTGTATGATCCAAGACGGGGTACGAGGGTGCAGTTCCCTCACTGATGACTGGTTGCAACCAGCTTAACGTCTTATCTATCATTTATCAGTGATACAATTTTTCCGGCTAAGCATAGCCGAAACCTTCTTTCACGTAAAATTGAAAATTGGGAAAAACTTTCATTGGTGAGAAATTCTATGGGTGATTCATGCAATCATTTTTTGCACTCCTAAAAGTTCTGACACTTTCATTATGGGGACAGTTCATAAATGGTAGAAAGATATCAGTTTTCAATACTGATTTGAAATTCATGACACAAAATGCATATAAAATTTGTCTGATTTGTCATTCTAAAATTTAGTAGTTAGTGCAAAATAAAACATTAATACAAACCGTAAAAACTCTATTTATAGCCGGGCTAAAAGCCCAAACCGAGGGTCACAGACCCGGCTACAATTAGAAACCCGGGTAAAATTTTGAAATCTTGGTCTCTAGACCCGGCTATATTTGGAGACCGGATATAATTAGAATTGGGTAACAAATAGAGTATTTACGGTAATAATTCGTCTTAAATTGAGTAATCCTCAATGTGCATACTATTTACATATTGCGCACTTCTCGATACTAGTCCACTAAAATATTTCACAATCCCAATCTCTCCAGCTCATAACCTCGTCGGGTTCAAAGATAATTTTACCATGTTGCCCTTCCCCAAACTTCAAGGAAATATTTCGATCTTCAACCTCTCGTTCCAATACCAGAATGAAAATCGGATGAACAACTAAATTATCATTTTGTTTCACGATTACGGACTGATTTTCAAATTTTTCAATTAACTCCAATATTCCCTTTTCATTCTTAAATCCTATCCTGGTCTTACATATTTTTAAGCAATATTTTCATTGGAATGCCCCTTCTACCAGAGCGGGACAGGAGGAAAATCAAATTTGAAACTTTTTGGGTATAGTTAGTCCCCGATATTATTTGTGACAGGACCTCAGAATATTTATCAATTACTGAAGATTCACAGGAAGTTGAAAAATTTGGAAATAATCGTGACTCCAGAATTTCCAGGGGATTCTCACCGTTGAAGGCTTTGGGCGATTCTCTCATTGAAATTAACAGTGCTCGGAAATCGGTAATTTGCATAAGAAAAAAACTGATGTAAACCTAGAGGATGCCCGTCCAGAAGATTGCAAATTTCCTTTCCTTGGTGGATTTCGTTTTTACTCAGAATTTCTGCGAAATCCAAGCCGGGTAAATTTATATGTCTAATATTCCCTGCGTTTGAATTTAACAAATTAACGTTTCGACTAATAATAACGACGAAAATTTTGCTGAGGTTGTGAAAATCGTACACAAAATATTCCAGATCCTTCGTACGAAGGGATATATTGTCTAAAATGCAAACCCAATATTTTTTTGGAATAATTTCACCAACAATTCGTTGCGATTCAGTTTCCGCAGTACTGTTTCTGGAAGGATAGTCGCCAATACAGACACTTCTGCAGTTCTGGCGAATTAAACTGTAATATAATTGATACCAACAAAATGCCCCATTTTTGCAATCAATCCAAGAATACGATAACAAGTCACTTTTACACTTATGCTTCATAAATTCACAAATTAATTCCGACTTGCCAATTACAGGTGGACCAGTAATGAAAACAAATTCGGATCTATGCCTACAATTGGAGAATGATTCCTCCAATTGCACTAACTCAGCACGTCTCCCATAAAATGGAAGTTCCGGTGTTGGATTTACCCGGATGAATTTTTCATTCAGCAGTTTGGACTTATTTCGAACTTCATTACTCCTAAAATTGTGGACGATCACGGTGTCGAAGATGAATTTAGTTTGTAGTTGATCTAAAACGGTAAAAAGTCCTTAAAACAGTATTTTTTATATAGTATTTATTTACACACCTGCCAAATAATTCCAATCCAATTGTTGGAACGCGTCTTTTAAATTATCCACTTTGCATATCCGATTTATATGAACCCAATACGAAATTATGTTATGGACAAGGACACATGGAATTAGTTTTTAGCCAGTCTGACCACGGTAAATACATACGGCTTGGTATTTTTAGACATTGCACGAGATCCAACCAGTGTAAGAAAAGAAATTGATCATCTAGGTCGACTAAAAATTTGCTACTTCAGGAACCTCAACTTCTTGCGACATGACTTGAAATTACTGCACCTTGGAGTTTGGGTTCCTGTAGAAATAGTTAGAATGAAAACAATACATTTTGAAAAACACGACAAAACTATACTCGTTATTTTATGGTTTTGAGCAAGGACAAACTCCGAATGAGTAGCATCCACATTTTTCACACATGTAAAGCACAGGTGTAGATTGTATATGCTCACCTATTATTTAGAATTTTTGAGCAACAGTTAATCAACTCGTGTGTTTATAAGGCTACGTTTGTAACACTATAAAACTGGGGTATTTATTTTGGCAATATTAAAAGAAGAGTACAATTTTTAAGGTTTTGCCAACCTTTATTCCTCTTCAGTGACCTCGTTCGGGTTCGGGTGATATGAAAATTATACGATCAATATATCACCTTACAGGTAAGGCTTAATTAATCGCAACACTTATGTCAAACCATTGCCCTCAAAGGTCACTGAGGAAGGTTGACTCAAAAATTGTACTCTTCTTTTAATCGTTGCACCATATGTAGGAGTGTCAAAAAATTTAAACCTGACGACCTGACACTAATGATGAAGCATTAATACGAGCTGTAGACTATATAGCTTTGTCAACTACCTAACAGGATGCCTGAGTGATAAAATCTACATACATACGTCCATATTTGCCCTGGAGCAGATAACTGTTTCATTGCAGGAAATAAACACTTGAATTTGGTGCTTTATTCAATTTTTCACTTAACGAAATGGTGAGGTAAACCTTTGTAATTATTTATACCCAGTCGATGAGTATCTCCAAGGATAGGCTTGGATATATAAATGGGTGGACACGTAGGCGATTACTGACAAAACGGCAATGGTGAAGACGACGGGATCGATGACACCCCGTAATTTGAATTGCCAAGATATTACGACTGTACATACATAGTTGTGTGAGGTAGAATGAACGATATACGTCAATGATCTGGCCAGATAAGCATGTCGACATATGCACTTTGTGATATGACTCATACCACGCAATGAATCATATGGGTGTACATATGTGTTCATCTAATCATTTGAGTGCCGAAAAATTTCATAAGTAACCTAGCAAAACGTCACAGGCATTTATGTATATATGTAAATCGACGAAGTAACCGCTAATCTAGGCTAATATTACGACTAATTGTGCAATATACATACATACACAATTATGAGTGGAGGAAGTGTACTTAGAAAGTCAAGGTCAGACGTCTTGAATCCCAGATTTTAATTCCACTTGGATGTTGTGGGGCCCAACATAAAAGATTACAGGTCACATTTAACTAACTCCTATAAAATGCTTCCAGTTTTGGGTTAGTAATAAGATTGTGAGAGAGAGATAAAGTTTGTACACATTTATCATTTAAATTATTACTGATGACTTGTCATGTTCATCACAAGGCGAGTCATATATAGTGACTCACTATATATGTATGACTCGACTACATATAAAAATGAATTTTTATATGTTCAGGGATGTAATTCTGAACAAATATTGGGTTTAATTTTCGAAGTTGGGTTAAAATTCGAAAAGTTACAGGATTTTTAAAAATCCTGTTTTTTGGCTGAAATGTTTCCATTCAGGAAAATGCAAAAATACGGGTCCGCTTATTTCTGGGCCTGAACAATTTAAAATTTATCCAATCAATATCGGCGATAACCGTCTCACATCTCCGCGTTGTAAGACTGCACCCCAAATAGGTACATATATTTAAAATACTGTAGACATAAAAGTAAATGCATACATATTTTTTATGCATACAAATTTGTCGTTATCATTTCCATTCAGTGTTAAGTAAAGATATATTTAAAATACATCACAAGAGTTGACTCTGATTGAATGTTTAGTTTGCACAAAAAATTAAATGTTGAATTTTTTGTTTTAAAAACATGTTCATTTTTTTTAGGTTTGTCATGGTATATTGTGGCACAAAATGATATCAAAATGATATACACAAAACGACGATTTATTCATGCAAACAAAAATTTGAGAGGGACTAACAACTTGTTAGTAACAAGGCAAGGCAAAACCTATCCTATTTAGCGTGGTCTGTAAATAAGAATTTATTATTTTGTTCTATTCACTGGTGTTCAATTCATTGAACTCCGCTTCGTTTACATTTAGATTATACAAACTGCTGTATGGAGATGATAAGCCGAATATAATTTAACTAGTCAATGACTCGTCGAGTCGCTCCAGCAAATAATCTGGATAATGATAACCAGACAGCGCAGGTCGTTGCCCATGATGCACAACAGAAACGGGGTAAATTCACAAGAATTGTGGGATCTTACAATTTAGCGGTGAATAGCTCTTACATATAGCTTACTCGGCTACGTCAGAGTAGTACAGGGTGGTCCAAGAAGCTGTATAAAAGTTTAAGCCACCCCAGTTCAAAGCCGGGATAATAAAATTCCAATTTGAAGCCCAAATCGTGGAGAGCAACTCAGAAAATAGTTTTGTGATTTTTTTTGTAAACCTAATTTCAAAAGTGCTCCGACGGTGATCAGGTGAAGGACAGGTATGTACTAGTGAAGGGCTGTTCCAGTCGATTTTTCACGGGAAACGTTATAAAAAGAGCTTAAAGTATGTTGCCATGGAATGAATTTGCAATTAATTTATAGAGTGGTACCTGGTAGACATATGCAAGGTAAATCCAAGGGTCTAATATCATTGTTACCACTGAGAAACAACGCAATGCTAAACGCCCGAAAAAGCTGAAAATTTGGTTTATCTGACTTAACCAACCACCAAGATTCCTTATCCCAATGCAGCACGGTCCAATGGTTAGATTGCAATAAATCAACTATCCAGAGAACCATTAAAACTGATTTAGGAAATATTATAACAAACATGACCTACAGTGGGTCGACGCATTGAGAGAAATCAAACTTTTTTCCGCTTACTGCGGAGAAATCTCACCAGTGCGCAAAAACGGACAACGATAATTTTGGTTCTGCATTCGTAAAAAATCAAGACACATCAGGTTGGTTATCAGACATTGACCGATTGGATTATTTCGGATGTTTCTTCGTGGAATGACAATTTTTACATTTGACTATTTACGAATTTTCACATACTTTGGAACGTCTAAAATAATCAGTGGAAGAAAAACACCGTAGAAAAGTTCCTGGAAGTTTTTTTATCGGGTAAAAAGCGATATATTCTTAAAGATAAGAACAAGGACCATCACACCCAGCAAGTTTCGAACCCATAAAGTTCCGCCTGCGGGTTAGAAAAATTATGGAATATTTATACAGCTTCTTGGACCACCCTCTGTATTAATTCTTAATTTGTATCAGTAACGAGAAACACATCTAGTCAAAGTTCCATAAATGAATTAATATTTATTAATTCCATGTATGTGAGAGGGTAATAGCCTAAGTAATAGTGCTGAAATTCAGAATTCCTGACGGCAATTATGCTAGCAAACTCATTTTTCGAAGTTTCAAATGGTCAAAAATTATTAACCGTATACATATTTTAGCTCCGAAAGATAAAATGTATTGATTTCTATGTCTGCATATACAGGTACACAAATACACATCTGTTTGAATACAAATATCCCAACTATGTACATACTTTGGAACTTATCGTAAACATATCAAATATTAGGTACATAATAAGATCGATATAAAATGTGAGATTTATTGTGTGCAAAGAATTTAGCATGTTCTGCTACAAATTTGCTGGATTGCTTTATGTACCAAAATTATACGAACATACTTAAACAAAACAACGATCAATGCGTGGAAGCAGAAATTTAAGGGGCATTAATATTTCCTTCCGAATACAGACCTTAAACTACATAAACTTTAACTGATCGTGGGTAAGCTATAAAACTGCCCATTATTTTGACAATAATTTGAGTAAGTATTGCTTACTTGTGTGCCATGTGTCCACATACAATCTTAGAAATGGGGTTACTATTATAACCAAAAAGTAAACGCATATGCATGACTCTACCGCCATGGTTATGAATTTATCACCAACTGGTTATAAATTTATTAGCTCTGATGACAATTTAATACCAAGTCGGTGAAACTTTATAATTAGTCCGTGAGAATTGTAACAACTCGATTACAAATTTATAACCACGGCGGTGAAGTTACACACGTTTACTTTTTGGTTATAATCGTAACCTCATTTCTAAGAGTGTACATACATATATCGTGACTGATACCCAACAGCACATTGAATTGGTTCCATTGCAATTGTGAAAATGGAGATAACAAGGTGATAGTAACAAGTCAATGACTCGTCCCAACAAAATGTTGATACGGTATGATTAGTTGGCAGAGACGTCCGATGCCCGTGATGTGCAATATCGATCGCACAAATTTACAGAAAACGTGAAATCTTTCATTTTAGCAATTAAATAATATTGAGCTCTTTTCTGGCTTGCAATTATTGACTTTAAAATTGGTAATCAAGTAAGTATTTACCAATTGTTTTAGATTATACTTCAATTTTATAAATTATGATAAGATTATAAAACTGTTATTATCTTCCAGCATTTAATCACCTTGAATTGAACTATGGCGGACAGCCCAATTTATACTTCACTCCTTGGACAGGGAGCTTTTGGCATTGTACTAAAATCAATTCTTTCGTGTGAAGCTGAATCTGCAGTCAAATTTATTTTCCCTAATGACAACGATGAGCGTGTTAAGCTTCTTCGTGAATATACGGTAACCAAAGGATTAGAAAAACATGCAAATATTGTACAGATAATTGATATGGAAGAAGAAAGGCTCTACCGCCAAGATATCGAAGAAATTTTCCACAACCTACCAAAAACTGAACAAATTAAAACCCTAAAATCAACAATTACCAAAAAAACGAAAGGTTACAGCATACAATCAATCCGTATCAAGATGGAATTGTGTGGACAAACTCTTAGAAAATGGCTAAATGAAAGCCTTAATGGAAACGACTTGCACATCCAGATCAGACAAAACACCATGGTCCAAAATCTGATAACCGGCCTCAAATACTTACACGATAATAAAATTATTCATCGAGATTTAAAACCAGAAAACATTATGTTCTCCAAAGGACGTTATCAATTACCGGTAAAAATCGGTGATTTTGGACATTCTCGAAAAATTCATTCTGAGGAATCCAACACTGGAGGATTGCTTACGACCGGAGTGGGAACCAGGAGCTACATGGCGCCAGAGGTTCGTCATGGAAATTATAGCTACGCAGCAGACATTTATTCCCTGGGCTTAATTATTTGGGAAGTGGTTCAATTACTAGGAGATAAGAGAAATATTGATTTTGATAAACTAGTATATGATAAGAAAGAGGAATTAGTTGAGGATCACGTTATTATGATTGGGATTCGAAACATAATAATCAGTATGTCTAGAAGAACGGTGGAAGAGAGAATTGGATTGGAAGAAATAGATTTTTCTCCTTGGAATGATAATTTGTCTAAGATAATTGAGGATCAAGGTTGTAAGTTTCTATGGGATTGTATTTTAAATTCCAGCAAAGAATTCGTTGTCAGAACTAACACCCAGCTTAAATTGGCACTGGATAATGCAGTGCATGGTTGTGTGATTAGATTAAACGAAGCAGTATATACAGGCAGGTTTAGTTTGTTGGAGGATAAAATAAGCATTATTGGCCAAGGAAGTAGATCGCTGTTAAAATTTGGTGATGCCATGTCTTTAAATATCTACGGTGATGAGATAAGCATTAGTAATATAAAGATAAGTGTTGCCAAATATAAAGCTAAATATTGTCTTCGGTTAGATGGGTCCAGAAATGTAATTAAAGATGTTGAGTTTAGCAACGGTGAAGCTGAATATATGTTAATGGTTGCCGGGGATGATAATAAACTCGAAACCTTAGCAATTTCTGAGTCTTATGGAGGAATATATGTCACAGGACAGAACAACACAATCACTAAAATCCTGATGGACAACGTTAGAAGCATAGGAATTTTCATTGGTTACGGTTCCAGTGATACCAAAATTTCAGATATAACTTTGTCAAATGTTATACAAGGAATTATTGTCAATGGTTCAAAAGCTCACATTTCTAAGGTCAAACTAACCAAAGCATCCTTGGACACATCTTCTTTGTGGAACAAACCTCAAAGATATATTGGATTGGTAGTTTACGGATCAGATTTTAAGGTCGAGGATATTAATTGCTCAGATTATTCGAGAATAACAAATGATTGGGGAATGATTATTAACGGGGGCTCGGGGGAAATTACTGATTGTTTTGGTGGCTCGATTCGTATAGCTGGAAGTAATGTAAAACTAATAAACGTTAGTTGCGGGGAATTGCTCGAAATTGATAACGATGCTAAAGATGTCACATTAGTCAGCTGCTGTGGACAAAAATTAATGTCCATTATAAAACCGGTAATGATGAACAATCAATTTGAGCTCATTGTGATCCCACTTAGGATATAAACCTACCTTGTAGATTTATGAGTTTCAGTAATTAAAGTAATTTAGTCATAGTTACGTTTACATATCTGCTACAAATAAATAAATAAATATATAATATGTAGTTCTGTCATGACTTCTTTATTGTCCATTATTAGCTCGTCCTGCGGAACATGAGAGCTATTGAATTCCTCTTGTCCGTCTGTCTATCTGTTAATGAGTTTTTTTGCACAAACTGCCAGAATAAACGTTGGTTAACATGAACCACATAATTTCAAAATTTCAACCAAATCGGAGGGTTACACTTCACACCATCACATTGTAAGTAAGGGGCAAGCGAACCTGTGCCAGCCTAAATGTATAGTTCCACCACTGCTTATAAGCCGGGCTAAAAATAAATTATGTTTGCACAGTGATAAACTGGTACGCATTATTTTAGAAAGCTGAACTTTGTTAAAAAGAAAACTCGGATTTGGATTTAATTTAAAAATTTAATCCTTAAAAAGGTTTGGGTTCTTCGGAGTTCAGAGTTTTTGAGATTCCTAAATTCCATCAGCATCCCAAGAAGTTCAATCTTTTTAGCTGGAGTGAGAACTATTTACCCATTTTTTCTGTCTGGACATACTTATATTTATCCGTCGCCACCATAACAACAATTACATAATCCGGTTTATGTAAGTACACTTGAAATTTTCTCCACCTAAAAAAAGAAAAACATAAGGTTGACGTGTAAGTGGTTTATAACTGTAGAATATGAAATGAACCCTGATAATTTTTGAAGTGCAGGTACCTTCGTTATTTCGTAATCATTTAATCCAACTAAAATTTAGTATGGAGGTCGCCAAGCAGTTATTTTACGATGAAGTCACATTTCTAAAATTATCAACCCCAGTCGCAAGACTCACAACGATTATAAAATTTTATTAATATCTTAAACTGAACTTTGGCCTTGTCAGTTATTATTTTTCATTCTAAATACGCCAACTCAGGTTCCATACTGAAATAGAGTTTATTTAGTACACTTAAACCCTTGCCTGTGCCACCCTCAGTCATACCTCAACCAAACAATGCCCATTATTATGTTAACCCTTTTTGGGAACTGTAGACCTATCTATATTTATATGGCTGGCAGGAAACTAGGGTTGCCGCGGGTAACGGGTCGGGTACCCGTTACCCGCATACCCGCACGATTCTTGCGGGTACCCGTTATCTGCGGGTAGCGAGAACTACCCGCAAGGGTAACGGGTAGTTCAGTTTTTGGTTAATTTTCGACATAAATCAGTTCATAAGGAAAGTTAGCAGCAAATTAGTCCATTTACCAGCAAAACCGCCAATTTATTATTTATCTATTTCAAAATTTGCCATTTGCGAGCAACAAGCGTTTATAGCGAGGATGTGTTTTCGGAAGCCACAGAAGCCAACGGCAGCCTCAAATACTTTTCACATCCCGAAAATTCAGCGAAATGATTGTTTCTCAAGCATAATTTGCCTGCTCTAAAATATCAGTAATAATGTGACTTGTATTTGTATATATTTATGTAAGACTGGTGCGATTTTAATTTGTGCTTTGAAGGTGAAAAACCTGAATCCGATTGAAGGCAAAAATTTTATTTGCAGACAACTTTAAAGATAATAAAAACCTCATTTAAATCAAAATTTCAAAAAATCAAGCTATGAATTGAACCTCTTTTCCAGCTACGCCAAGATTGTCTAGCCTGTATATCAAAAAGTCAAGTCAAAAATTAGGAATCGCATGATACTTCCGTTGAATGTCCACTGTGAAGAAAAATATTTGCGGCAAAGTTCAATTTTTAAGTCAATGTTCTGCATCATTTTCCTCCATTGGACGAAAACCACGGTGGACTTTTAACTCTGACCCCAATAGTTTTCTTTAAACGGGCTATTCAACGGAAATATAAGTGATAATTCCTAATTTTTGGCTTGATTTTTTGACATACTTCGCTAAGAAACCCCGATGTAGTTTGAAAACGTTCCATTGTAAGTCAGAAAGTTTGGTTTCAGAAACAACTGGTGACATTTCCATAGCAAATTATGGCATTCGTTACTGGCATAGCATTATCCCAAACTACATATGTATCAACCCAAGTGAGCAAATAATTAATTAAATCAAATTTATTTTGAAGGTGGGTTAGGTTTTAACTTAATTCTCATAACGGGTAGCGGGTAACGGGTACCCGCACGGGTACCCGTGCGGGTACGGGTAGTTGTGCTGCGGGTAACGGGTAGCATTTTTGCTACCCGCGGCAACCCTACAGGAAACTAACATTTTATGTTGTGGATACTGATGAATCTGGAAATTTTCTGAATATTCAACCCAAGACACTCCTATTTATATGTAAAAGGAGGATAGACTTAAATTATTGTCTTCCCATTTTAGTCGTTCTTACACTCTCTTCATAAAATTACATGTCTGCAGCGTGCTTTATTTATTTCGTGCAGCAAGAAAGCCACCTTTTCGCGTATCCAAAAGTAAACTGTGTGCATAATTAGCAACGAGGAATAATTAGCTCAAAAAAACTTTAATTTGTTTTCGTCCACTGGGGTGAGTACATATTTATTTACTTGCTAGCTTATTTTTTCGCACAAACAGACATGCATATATTACACCCTTCTCATATACTTTTCATATGTATGTACTCCTCGTTTTCAACTTTCCATGAACCCAAAAGAGCTTTAGGGCGAGCAAGTCGACGTCAAAAGAAGGCGTCCAGGCACGACGTCCAAGAATTATGTTAGCTGAGCAGCCGAATTATCCTATTATTTAACACCCGTTTATTTGATTTTGGCGTTCAAATTATTCAATTCGTGCCAAGAATTTGGATAGTTGAATGACTTCAACGCCAAAATAAAATAAACGGGTGTTACATAATAGGATAATTCGGCTGCTCAGCTAACATAATTCTTGGACGTCGTGCCTGGACGCCTTCTTTTGACGTCGACTTGCTCGCCCTAAAGCTCTTTTGGGTTCATGGAAAGTTGAAAACAAGGAGTACAATTCTATAGTGTGAACATCAAAACGAGAGTCCATTTTTACCTGGAAGGCTTATGGTATGGCGGACAGGGGTCTCCTTTTAATGTTCGCATCATCTCCGCTTTTGGTTATACACTCTAAGAAACCCGGTAACTAAGTTATTACCAGGCGGAGTATCTATGTAACTCTATACCGAATGGTAATTTATTTATTATTGAGTGGTATAAAATTAGTTACCAACTGGTAATATTTTTAAATTTCGCGACCGGGGTTATTACCAGTTTGGTAACTAATTTTCTACCACTCAATAACAAAAATTAATTACTTTGCGGTAGACTCACATATGTAGATACTCCGGCTGGTAATAACTTAGTTAGTTACCGGGTTTCTGAGAGTGCACCTCTTTCAATAATTTTTCTTCATAGACGTATACAAACATGAAAAATTTTGGTGGGAAATGTATTACCAGTAAAATTCTATCTATCTGTATTTAGTTTTACACAAAACTGGAATATGACTCACGCAGCCATCAAATCGGGTAGTGTTAAAAATGGCAGTATTTGTTCCAACGGGTTCCAACCACCAAACTGGGATTGGACCGGAAATCATGAAGATCGAGTATTGAATCTCCTCGAAACAGGGTTCCAGCATGATTTGATTCTCCACCTCCGCCCAGAAGGGTTAAAAGTGCGTTTATTACCTATATAATTTAACTTGGCGATTTCTTATTTCTATTTCACACACATTTTTTGGCAGATTCCCGTCCACAAAATATTTCTTCAGGCCGGCTCTCCCGTCCTGAATGACAAGATTACTTACGGCGACCTTGGGCGAACTAATCATTGAAAATGTGGACAGTCACGTTTTCAGGTTGCTGCTCAAGGTAAAAATTATTAAACATGAAAAAGAGACAAAAGTGTACACTCTTAGAAATAGGGTTACCATTACATATAACCAAAAAGTAAACGTGTGTGACTCTATCGACGTGGCAATGAATTTGCCACCAACTGGTTATAAATTTATTAGCTCTGGTAACAATTTAATAATAAGTCGGTGAAACTTCATAATTAGTTGGGGACAATTGTAACCACTCAATGACAAATTCATAACCACGGCGGTAGAGTCACACACGTTTACTTTTTGGTTATGATCGTAACCCCGCACGGTGGTCTGGAATATTTAATTTCTTGGCCAAAACCTATTCTCACCGATTCGAAAACAAATTATCCTGTTCAGTACCTTTGACATAGATGTTCAATTGTGGAAAGTTTCATTTGAATAGTTCAAGTGGGTATGGCGTGGCGTATGCCTAAACTTGGGTTATAACATTGGGCTAAATGGGGAAAACTTCAAGTTGAAAATCCTGTCTAGTCCTGTGGTGTTTCGAGAAACCGTGAATACATTATTAATCCCCCATATCTCATCTACTAAAACTGCTGCAACCTGCTGCAACCATCGCACATATCAAAAGAAATTTGAGTTTATGTTAAGGAAAATTGCATATGAAAAATATCTAGAGTGCTGTCATCATAGCTATGTGTGAAATTTTAGAGTGTTCCAAATAAAACAATTATTTCCAAATATGTTAAACACTGTTTGGGGAAGGGAGCATTGCAAAACAAACCCCTCTAAAAAATTTATTACGGTGAGGGGAATTTTATAAAGCGGTGGCCCCTTGAGGAGTCATAACGAAGTTTTTACTTTTGGGTCTATTTTCACTATTAATGATGTCAGAGGACAGAAATAGTTAATAAAATAACCCAATATTGTTATTTGATAAAATTACGTCTCCCAATGCATCGAAACAAAATTTTCAAATTTTTATTTTGACCACACCCCCTGGCCGTGGGTATGCCGATAATGTTCCAATGTTAGTCAGAGTTATATAGAGTTAGATGAGACCTTTCTAATGACACCCCACTTGATGGTGTAACGTGAGAAAATAATTATTGGCCTTTGACCGAACCCCAAGAGGGGGTGGTTTTCAATAAATGTTGCATAATTTTCATTCCTTGAAACTTTATACTTCAATTTCCAAAAGCAGAATTAGAAAAAAACTCGATTGTTCGAAAGATACAGGTTTTGGCACGAAAATAAGCTAATCCAGACCAGTGTGCCCCGTTTCTAAGAGTGTATGTCAAGTTAAATATTTGAGCTAACGGTTTTTTTTACCTTACTCCAGTTTTTATACACCGGAAAGTCTGAGGTACAAATGGGCGATGCACTGCAACTAATGAAATTAGCGACGGATTATCAAGTAAACGGTTTAAGAGACGCTTGTGCCGCCGTCCTGAAGGACGACTTGACCTTGGAAAATGTACTTTCTTTATTTCAAAGTGGAATGGAATGCGCTCACAGCGAATTTATCCAGTCAACTCTCAAATTCATTTGCAAGTAAGAATGGCCTTGTCAAATGCAAATTTGGCAAAATTATTCTTAAGTATTTATTTTCCCACGAATCACAGAAATGCACGAAAGGTTTTGCCATCCAGCGAATTTTCCACGCTACGACTGTTTGATCGAAATTATTCAACAGGATTCTCTCATTGTGAAGGACGAGCTGGAAGTCTTTGAAGCCGTGTACCGGTGAGAGGATGCATAATTACCTAATTAATCCATACCTACAGGCTACACTCTAAATAAAAATAACTAAAATTTACTCAAGTTTGAGTAAAAAAAAGAGGACGACACAACCGAAAGGTAAAACTTGTTCAACAATTTGCAAAATTTACGTACCCGTTGACAACTTTGGCCAATTTTTACCAATTGTTGAGTAGATTTTCCTTTTGGTTGTGTCCTCCTCTTTTTTAACTCAACTTTGAGTAAATTTTGCTCAACTTTGAGTAAATTTTACTCAACTTTGAGTAAATTTTACTCAACTTTGAGTAAATTTTACTCATTTTTATTTTGAGGGTATTAATATTACGCTAATTATCTATAATGAATACATATCTCAAAATAAATATGTAGCTGGGGCCTAGCCGAATGCACCAGACAATCTCTGGATCCCGGAAACTGCGAACATCTCCGGAAATGTCTATCCAAACCGCTGAATTACATCCGATTTCCGTTAATGGATCCTACCCAATTTGTATTAACGGTTAAGCCAAAGAATCTTCTCGAAATGGGTGACACCCTCGACCTAATGACATTTTTCCTATCTCCGCCAGGTGACAGGTAGCCAAGTTAAAATTCGTAGATACCCGTTAAAAAATAATCGACATAAATTTAAAAACTAAAAAAATCCTTGCTATCCTGGAAATATGCCCCCAACTGGAAAACTCGTTTCATACCCTCGCCAATACAAGAATCTCAGTGGTTCGGGAGTCCTACTCACTAGAAACGTTACAGGAGGCAACAGACAAACGATTTATCATGGACCTTCCTCGGAAACTATCATGTCAGTTAAAAAATAACAAGTATTCCTCCACTTTTTAGAGAATACGTCAAATGTTTCAATATTTTTCAATAATCACTTATAGGATTCGTACCAACGAGAAAGTATTGCTCAAGTCTATTTCTATCCCCAAAGCGATTTTTGCCCAGTGTGGGTCAATTGATTATTATTGCTACCATTTGATCAAAGTTGATATCACCGCCACTGTTCAAGACGAACCTGCATCCATACTTAATCATGCCAGAAATGAGGACGTGGATTTTATACGTATTTTTCTCAACCCTCCGTACCAAATTGATGCGGAGGTCAAACTTACCGTCTCACTTTCCCGTCAGATCAAGTACCAAGTTCGAGCCAATCAGTTCCAATCAAGATATAGTTCGAATGAAATGCATACGCGCCACGTGGACGGATATGTTAAAATAGTTTCAAATTATGGAGACTTTGTCGATACACCATGCACGACAGAATTTGGTGTTGAAATAGAAATTAAACGAAGGGACGAGGATAATCTCCCTTTGAATTATGGTTTTCTTGAGAAGCTGGAGTTTGAAGTTGTTTAATAATATCAGTAGTTTTCCTATGGAGAGGGAATCAGGCGTACTTTTATAAAATATTAAATACTTCAATTTAAAACGTTTCATGAAAAAAACAGAGTGGTTTAAATGTCAGGTTACAATGTAAATTTTTGTTGGTAATTTTTTTCGGTAATTGGTAAAACTAATTTCGCTCAAAAGATTTGGTAAATCGGTAAAAAAAAATGGTAAATTTTGCTTGGTAATTTTTGTGTACATTTTTTAAAGCTAGCAGCATTTTAATTATGGTAAAAAATTGGTAAAGTGGTAAAATTGTTTCGTCAATTTTCTTGGTAAAAATTTTCGGTAGTATTAATAAAAAAATTCATTAAAATTGCCAAAATTTCCGATAAATTAGTAAAACCTAAAAAAACCCAATAAAACTCTCCCCCCTAAACTAAAATTTTTTAATTGGAAAAATTTAATTTCCATTAGTTCCGGATTTAGGGTTGAGGTTATTATTAACTTTTATCAAAACTTATGGAATACTGATGATAAAATTCTTATATTGCATTTCAGTAGCAAAATTTTGGTAACTAATGGAGATTTGCGAAGTTTTCCCATTGAAAACCTTTCCATTGTAACCTGACATTTAAACCACCCTGTATAAGTGCTGTGTACATTTCTTATCTAAATTTAATTAAAATTTGGAATAATTATGTCCTATGTTACAATTTATGAGAATCAGGGTATTCCGACCTGGGTTTTAATGGGTTGGGTTTTATTGGGTTTTAATGGGTTTTAATGGGTTGTAAATGAATAAAACCCACTGGGTTTTACCATGTTAAGTGGGTTTTATTTGGGTTTTAATGGGTTTTATTGGGTTTTAATTGAGTTTTACCTTAAAACTACATTCTAAAAGTTAAATACATCTCCTATACGTTAGAAGACGTTATCTCAATTCATTCTTAAGCAGTTTATTTTATTACTATTCTAATGTATGAAAATTCGGAACAAATCAACAATTGACTCCATCCTTTAGCATCACAGATTTCAAGTGTTATAAAACAAAAATAATTTCCGAATAGATACAAATTCCTAATTATTTTTGTTAAGTTATTACTTAAAACTAATAAAACCCATTAAAACCCATTTAAACCCAATAAAACCCAATAAAACCCATTAAAACCCATTTAAACCCAATAAAACCCAATAAAACCCATTAAAACCCAAATAAAACCCAATTAACATGGTAAAACCCATTAAAACCCATGGGTTTTATAATTTTTGATTAAAACCCTGGGGTTTTCCGAACCCTGATGAGAATCATACATGTTCAAGAAATTTTCTTCATTCAAAATTCATTAATTTAAAAATTTGGAAAAAATCATTCGTTCATTTAAAATTAAAAGAATATTCATTCAATATTCAACTACTTACATAAGTATTCATTGTTCATATGCATTATTCATTTTACCAAACCGCATTACTTATTGTACGGATTTCTTACTTTGCGTTCAGCTTATGTAGGAGGAAAGGTGAATTTTAAAAAAAGCAAGCATTCATTCTCTCATTAAATGAACTAAATGGATATTCATTGATTTAATTAATATATACTTCAAAAAATTGAATAAAATACTTATTAATTCATTCGTGTATGCATATTTTTTTTAATTTAATTAAATTTAAAATGACAATGGTGTATTATATCTTTAACTTCAAATTACGAAATAGAGTACACAAATTAATTTCCCTACTGTTAAATGTGTACATATAATTTTTTACCAACAATATTTGTGTTTATTGAGCAATGTACTTTTTTAGCAATTAAATTACGTAATTAATGACAGCAAACTAACACAATTGTATTTAACTTTCCATTGATTCTTACATTGTTCAAAAACTCGCAATGGAGCCGAAACAATGGTCGAAAAATTTGTTCAGACTCAATTTAATTAATTGTTCCCAGTCTCCCACTTTACATTTCTTCTTCGCTCCATGACGACCTACATGACCTTGTTGCTCTGCTGCACTTTGCTCCACAAATTTTCGGGAGGATTCCACCACAAGTTTTCACAACCAGATCATGGGCATAGCAGTAGTAGTCGCCAGATTGAGATATCTAATTCGTAAAATATTAACTAATTAAACTTAAGTTATCCGTAGTATATAATTTTAATAAATATTGAATTTATTTATGTAAATGAGCCAATTATATTTCGGAAGATGAGAATGAAACTAATCGAATTTTGAAAATCCAATTAGGTAGTTATCAGAGCGAAAGATCGTCGGTTAGATTCCGGCCAAGGCCACAATTTTTCCTCATACTTGGTTTAATTGGCTTTTCATAATTCAATGAATTTCATTGTCATCTTCCCAAATAAAATGTAAATGTCAACATTTGCTACTTAAGCAGCACTGCACGACGGATTGGCGAGGTTTGGCTCAAGTCACCACCCGTCACATCATGGGGCGACTGGGGGGAGCAAAGTTTTTGCCCACGTGCCGCATACGCGTGGGGAATTCGCGTGAAATATGAGCCATTGTCATTTTGGGGTGACGATAACTCCGCTATTAATGGGCTCGGCCTCAACTGTATTTTCCGTAAGAATTTTAGAACTTTTTATTTAAATGAGGCAAAGTGAAAAACAATTACACGTGTATAAAGGGTGGTTTAAATGTCACGCTACCAAGGACTTTTTTAAATGAAAAAGTCCCTAAATCTCCATTAGTTACAAGATTTGAGATTGAGATTTTTTTAATTCTTATCAAAACTGATCACAAAATTCATAAAATGCTGAATTTCAAAGACAAAATTTCGGTAACTAATGAAAGTTTACGAACTTTGCCCATGTAGAATTTTCCATTGTAGCGTGACATTTTAACCACCCTGTTCATAAGGAATTATGGTCGGTATTTGATAATTTGACCATTCTTTGTATTCCTTTATCAAAAAAAGGTATAATTATAATATATCGACCATAACATGCACATTTTCTTAGCTGATGGCAATCTCGACGGGACAAATCCATCCAGCAACGTTGGTGACTTTGGAAAGTGGCTGGAATGCATCTGCCCTTCTCAATCGGACCGTGTTGTCGGGGTAGGAATTTGCCGGCAACCCCCACAAGGGGAGGACGACGACATTTCCGCGTACGGATTTTACATCATTTGCAGGGACAGCGGAGAGAAAGTTTGCGTTGATGAAAAACGGATTCGCAAGTCTTGTTACTGGATGGCATTTCGGAATCAGTACCGGGGCATTTGCGGAATTCACACACAAGTCCAGGGCGACCAGGGGTGTAAGTACACTCTAGGAAACCCGGTAACTAAGTTATTTCCAGCTATGTGACTGTTACCGCGTGGTAATTAATTTATTATTGATTGGTAGAACATTAGTTACCAACTGGTAATAAAGATTTTCAAATTTCGCGTCCGGGGTTATTACCGGTTTGATAACAAATGTCTATTTACCACTCAATAATAAATAAATTACCATTCGGTAAAGTCACATATGTAGATACTGCGTTTGGTAATAACTTAGTTACCGCGTTTCTTAGAGTGTGTGGCAATAATCAAGCGCGTTTGTAATTAAGTAAACCATGACATTTTTTACTGATGAAGATTTGTATTTTTTAACTAGTTGAAGACGACACTGGGCTCAATAATGTTAACATTAAATGCTGCTGGTGACAAAACTTTAAAATATCACCGATTTTTTCAACAAAATATTTCCACAAATAATATCATTTCTGTTTATTACCCCTTGTAAAAATTTAAACATCTAAATTATGTTGTTTAAAATAAAATCAATAACTGACCCGTTTTATAAATTTAAAAAAATGCAAATCTGAGCTTTACACACTCTAAGCAGAAATAAGTAAAATCTACTAAAGGTTGAGTAACGAAGAGGATGAGAGGGTTTTATCTATTTAATAAAAGGACTGGAAATTCACTTTTGAACTCTTGATGTGGCTTGTCTATTTTTACGTGTTGAAAAATTATTCGTCTCTACAAACCCACTTCGTGTCTCTTGGTTCTTAGATTTAATCAAGGTAAGTTTTCTCCGTTGTTAACTTATACATTTACAGGACTTCTGGATAAGCATAAATATTTAAGATGCCTCTTATTGCTTCACGCATTGGTTAGGTTCATCTACCACGCAAGGAACTACATGTGTATGGACGCACTGAAAATATGGTTTAAAAGAAAATGAATTGAATAAATAAATATTTTATTTTATTTTAGCACATTACAAAACTTATTAATTACATAAATTCTTTACAAAAGCACTTTAGCACTTTGCAAATTAATTCCTTTTGTAATCTCCGTCGTTAAACTAATACATAGACCTATGAAGCTCATCGTCTGATGCTATATCTTATTCGACGTGTTTTAAGTTTGTGTAATATTCAAAGCTATCGAATAAGTTTAAAGCTGCTTATTCAGTTATCTAATGTCGAACTGATTTACGAAATACAGACAACACGGGAACATTAGGCTTGGGTGGGGTTAAACAGCAAAAAAAATTATATATTTATTTAGCAGCCGTTAGTTTAGTTTCGTAAATTTTCGGTTCTTTAAGTTTATTAGCAATTACGAAATAACGCTACTCGTATATGTATACAGAGGATCACAGATCGTATTTGCACAGGTTTTAAAATTGATCTCAAACCTTCAGTCGGCGTCGATGAATTTGTTTCTTTTGTTCAATGCGTTCCTTAGACCTTTGGCTAGCCAGCCTATGTCGCCGTTTTCACGAATTCATTAGTTTTCCTATGTTTTGGAGGGCAATCTTCTTCAACTCCTCTTGAAGATTTTTCCGAAACACCAAAAAAAACTTGAGCTCATCTGACATGAGGCTATGGTTTTAGTAGTCTAACCCCATTAAAAATCTAAAGTAGTGGCATCAGGACTTGTCACAGGTATCTGGGAATTAAGAATAATTGAAATCCCAAACTTTCGTTTTAACCCGGCTGCAAAATGGGTCGTTTTCCCAGAGATTTTCGTGGTGAAGTTTGTTTTCGCGTGAACTTTGGCCCTTTTTTGACTTGTTTTTGAAGTTTGTTGTTGATGGCGCAATTCGCATGCAGCTGACATATTTTAACAACTTTTCCAATTTAAGTTTGGGTCAGAAGATTTTCTCGCCTTGTCAGGGCGTCGATTTTGCGAAAAACGGTACGCGAAAACTTTTTTGGGGGCTGTAACTTTATTGGGGATGCCACTC